ACACACGCTCCGACTGCACCACGCCGATGGGCTTCCACGGCGGCGCGTCGCCGGTGTTGTTTCTGCTCCGTCCGAGCCTGCCGCGGTCCCTCGCGCGGCCGCGGCCGCCCGAGCTCGCGGCGGCTCCTGCCTGCGGGCTGTGGCCCCGTGCGCGCGCGCTCCGGCCGCGGTCGACCGGGCGGGGCGTCCTCCTCGGTGGTGCGCGCGGCTCCCGCGTCTCCAGCTCACCGGTCTGGTCTTGCGGCGCGCCGCAGTTCGAGGAGGCGGAGGAGGAGGGGGAGAAGAAGGAGGAGGAGGAGGAGGGGGAGGAGGAGGAGGAGGGGAGGAGGAGGAGGAGGAGGAGGAGGAGGGGGAGGAGAAGAGGGAGGAGGAGGAGGAGGAGGAGGAGGGAAGGGGAGGAGGAGGCGGAGGAGGCGAGGAGGAGGAGGAGGGGGAGGAGGAGGAGGAGGAGGAGGAGGAGGCGGAGGAGGAGGAGGAGAGACAAAAAGGAGCGGCCGCCAGAGCGCAGTTCATGCAGCAGCTTGAGGGAGCAGCGTGATCTTGGCATCTGTTCCAAGGCTGCGTGCGGGGAGGAAGAAGCAGGAGATGCGGGAAGGGGCAGCTGTTTGACATCCAATCTCTGCCAGGGCGCCGAGCGCCCAAAGGGGTGTTCTACCTGATGTTTTGTCCCCCTTTCGCCTCCAAGAGCTATTCCGTGACCTGCGCATTCTGCTTGTGCGGTTTCCGCTCGGAGGAGCAGGCCGAGGGCGCACGCGGCGTACGTAGGCGAGCAGTCGACTGAGCCAGCGGCGCGCGCGGCAGCTCAGCGCGAGAGCGCCGTGGAGTCTTCAGGATTTGGAGTGCGTGTAGGTCCAGACCTTGTGGCTCGCCCTCGTTGGGGTGGGCCTGCGGATCTCTCCATGAGTGTCGCACCTCTTCTTCTCATAGGTTATCTTCCTTTGGCTGCTCCCCCTCATGCGAGGCATTCTAAACATGGTTTTGCCTTCGAGGATACAGGGGGCCCGGATTAGTAGGTCGACCCTGCCAGAGCGAGGGTACCCTCGTGTCCTGTGTCTTGCGACCCATGCCTCCTGCAGTTCTGTGGCAACGTGGCCCTCGGAAGAGTCCTGTGTCCTCTCGCGTGTCCTGCCCAGTCGAGTCCGACGGTAGAAGGAGCTGTCAGCTCCTCCTCGGCGGGAGGCCGCGGCAGGTCGGCGGGAGCAGAGCGAGGCCGCCTCCGCCGGCGGAAGGCCGACGGAGGGTGGCGGAAGAAGGAAAAGGCGCCCCCGAGAGAAGAAAACGTGTTTGGGTGCACGGGTTCCTGGAGTCTCGGCACGAAGGAAAGGGGTACGGAAAGAGTGGGTACCATGCCCAACGGCAGTTTCTGTTCATGTCGAGCAGGACTCGCTGTCGGCGTCGCCGCGGCCTGTGCACGTTTGAGACAGAAGGCCGCCTGCCCAACAGCGGCCGCTGCTGGTTTGGGACAACATTTGTTCTTGGGCATTGTACCCATTTGTTCCCTACCTATTTCGGCCGTTTGCTCCCCTTCTTGCCGCTCTTCAGTTGTCAGTATTGCCCTCCCGCCTGAGGTCTGGGACACCGTCGGCGACTGGGAGGTGGCGGCCCACTGCAGGGGCCACTCGCGCTCGATCTGGGCGATCTGCTACGTGCGGGACGCGAAGATGTTCCCCGCCCCCCCCTGCCCGTTCCATGCAGGAGGAGGAGGAGGAGGAGGAGCAACATCATCATCATCATCATCATCATCATCATCATCATCATCATCATCATCATCATCCTCATCCGAATCGCCAGCATCACATCATCACGACCCAGGTCCAGGTGTTTCTGCTAAGTGGACTCTCTGCAGCTTTTGAGGGGGACTGCGGGGGGGGGCGGGGCTCTGACCTTGCAGGAGGGGCTGTCCATTCCCCACACAGTGCCTGCACTTGGGTTTCAGCGTTGTCATGTCAAGGAACGGGGGGGGTCGGGGTTTCGGCTGGTGCCCGGTTTGTGCCGCCGCTGCCGCTTCGTTGCCGCCTCGTGCGCTGGATGGGTGCGTCGGGGTTTCGGTTGGTGCCCAGTTGATGCCGCCTCGTTGCCGCCTCGTGCGCTGGATGGGTGCGTCGGGGTGTCGGCTGGTGCCCTGTTGTTGCCGCTTCGTTGCCGACTCGTGCGCTGGATGGGGTGTGTCGGAGTTTCGGCTGGTGCCCCGTTGGTGCATCCTCGTTGCCGCCTCGTGCGTTGGGTGGTGTGTGTCGGGGTGTCGACTGGTGCCCAGCTGCTGCCGCCTCGTTGTCGCCTCGTGCGATGGGTGGTGTGTCGGGGTTTCGGTTGGTGCTTGCTTGGTGCCGCCTGGTTGCGGCATCTCCCCACACAGTTTGCAGCAAATAGCTAGCTCATCCACAGTACACTAAAGTATTGCTTGGGGTCCACATTGCCAAACGTAATTGAAGAGTAGAGAGGAAACCTTTTCACGGAAGGAAAGCAGAGGGTTGGAAGAGGAAGCGCGCTAAACCAGCTCCCCCCAGAAGGCTGGTGGGATTTCTGGGGAGCCCGCTGCTTGGATCCATTCCCGCGTTGAGGTCACCCCTCTCCTGTCGTACGGTTCCCCTTGACAAGCGGCATTGCCCATTGGCCGTTCTCGGTGAGGGGAGTCTTCTGCTCATTCTGCGTCTCTCAATGCATTTCTTCTGGCTGGATTTCGCAATCATGGCATGCTAGCGCGGCCAAGTTGCGCCTCTGCGCACCATTGGCACATCTCTGGCTTGTTGGCGCGTGGCCCCTTTGGTCTCGGCAGCGCATCTAGTCGGACACCTTGCTTCGGCGTTTTCTGTGGATCCGTGTCGCCTCGCAGCCAAACTTCAGAGGAGAAACAGGGGGCACCGCCACCGAGAACCCATCGGGGGGGGGGGGGGGGGGGGGACCCCTGGGCGGTGGCACGCCCGAGCGCCCCCAGTACATAACGACACTCAGGCGTGCCACCGTCCAGGGGTAGGGTTCCCCCAGCGGGTTCGGTGGCAGTAGTCCCACCTGCCTGGTCCGCCTGCCCCCTCCCTCCTCCTCCGCCCTGCTCCCTCCCTCCTCCTCGGCTTTCCTCCCTCCCTCCTCATCGCCCTCCTCCTCGCCCCCATCCTCCTCCTTCTCCTCCTCCTCCTCCTCCTCCTCCTCCTCCTCCTCCTCCAGCCCTTTCCTATCGAGACCTCCATTCCCAGAGGCAGATTCTCTTTTCCATCGTACATCGTGAAGGGGCCTCACATGCCCCAGTTGCGGCCGCTCCTCCTGTGGGCGGCGATGGCGCAGCAGCAGCTTCGACGATTGGGGTGGAACCTTCAGTCTTGTACGGGCGATAGGCTTGAGGAGGTGGTGGTGAAGACGTCGAATTTCGACCTGATTTTGTTATCTGGGACTCAGGCGGTGGACCGGAGGCAGCAATTTTCAGGGAGTGTTGTTCTGATGCGACATGTCCAGAGACGTCTTGTGTTGGAGGCCCCTTTCGGCCCATCGGTTCCTCTGAGTAACTCGAGTGCTGGGTGTTCAGTCATATTGGGGAAAGGCTTCCAGGAGCAACATATCATTCAGACGTGGGCATCCCCAGCGGAGGCCAAAGGACGGTGTCTTGGAGTTCGGGTTACACGGGGGAGGAGTGATATGTGTGGAATAAGCCTTTACTTCCCACCGAAGCCATCCCGTCTCCACCACCACCTACTATCTTCGCGTTGTTCGTGTTTTGATCGAGTGGCTTAGCGACTTGCTCTCTGCGCTCCCGCAGAGGACTACGCCCGTGATTTTCTGCGACGCGAACGATGGGATTGGCCTGCCAGTGGGAGGAGGAGGGATCGAGACAGTCGTCGCGCAGGCCCCGTCGCCAGAGCGTTTGAGAAAGGGAGCAGGTGAGCAGCCTCGCGAACTGTTAGAATCTCATGAGATGATGGCGACTAATGCTAGAGGGAGCTCTGTTATTCCAACTTTCTACGGTCAGGATGGTGGCAAGTCTCGTGTCGATTATTTGTTTATACCATGTGGAATGGAAGATTCACTCGTACACTCACATGTTCTTAGACGCCTCGGTGCTCGACTTCAGGCGTTCCAAGGTCCGAATCCACGAGAACACTTACCGATTGAATGTACGTTGTGCTATTCGCAGCACATGATTGGACCGACGGGCGCACATATTCGCCTTCGCTGAGATCGGGATAAGGTGATGGCAGCCTTACAACGTGGACGACATAAGGCGGGCTTTCTCATATCTGTTCAAGAGCAATTCGACCAGCGTGGCGCGTATCATTATCTGAAAGAATATGGTTCCCCGGATGAGATATTTGAACTTCTTGAAGATTGTATTACAACTGCAGGACAGGCTCACTTTAGTATGGCGACGCTTGGCGGCGATACTCGACGACAGGCTGAGGTTAGAGAGAGAGAGAGAGAGACGAAGACTACTCCACTTGCGGGCAGGCATACGCGAGGGTAAGATGGAGGCTTCCCCTGAGGAGGCTACTCACATCGGTGCTGAACGCAAGCGCATTTCTCAGGAGCAGCGACTACTACGACGCAAAGCTTCTCTTGCCCTTCAGTCTCAGCTGGTGGCGGAGGCGACGGATTTGTGGAATCACCAGAAACAGGCAGGAGCTATGAGGTTGGCACGGCGAGCGGCGCGCACACGCATAGGACCAAAGAAACGCGATGGGCTTCTTGTTCGGACTGCACCACCTACCTCAGAGGCATGGTTGAATGTGTGGTCGCTGGAAGGATCACAAGGCGGGATGGCTGTTCACCCTCAGAACTGGTTCGAATGGCGAGATGCGCGGGACGGCCAGCAGTAGCTGTGGGAATCTACGGAAGAGGTCATTGATATTGGTAAGGATGATGTGGAGCGAGTTACTCGGCGGATGCGACACGCAGCTAAACGACGAGCAGTTCCAGATCCAACGGCACCGTTAGAGCTCTGGCCGATGCTATTCTCACCGGAGAAAGGTCTCAAACAGCGACGCGGCCAGGGCATAGGAGCTGACATTAGTGCGCCAACAATTTCGGGTTTCAGATTTCTGGTAGAGGTGGGGGTGGTGCGGCGAAGATCTGGATGCACAGCATCAGCCCGCTCTACTGGCATCGGACAGAAGGCGCAGGCCCACGCAAATCTAATGCGGCTGGTCCCCGCGGTCGTAGAGTGGCTCATGCGATGGCAGCTTCTGGGAAGGCATGCTATTCGACTTTGCTGACTCCGCCCCCGACTGTCCTAGACCACGGCTACCATCGACATCGCCGTCGCGAGGGTGCTGTCATTGGGGCGCTGATTACATCATGGCGTTCACGGGCACATGGTATCGCGCACGCCACGACGCCCAAGGATATGTCCAACGCTTTCGGCAGCTCTTAGTGGGATCAGTTAGATGAGACCGCATTTCTTCAATCCCGTGAATGTGTTCATGCTCTGCGCCAACAACGGGAAGCTCTGGAAGGCCCTCTCGCAGCTCGACCTACACAGGGAAACACGATGGGGGACCCATGTGCTGTCCGAGCTTTCGCAGGTACTTTCGCACATCCAATTTTGCCCTAGAGGCATGGTGAGTCCAGAGCCGATGTGCAATCTAGGCGATTGCGAGCATCGCGGCAGGGACTCCGAGCCGACCTGCGCACGCACAAGCTTGCGGATGATATTTGAAGTTCTACGCTGGCTGACCCGCAAATGTCGCTAAAGGATTTCACGACTAAGATCGCAGCGGTTGGCGTTGGACTCTTTTCTTGCGAATTTTGTCTACGGCCAGAACTGCACCAAGCAAAAGTACCTTATGTGTTTTCGCTGCACGCGGCTATCGGCGCTTCGCCAAGACCCCGCTCTCCTCTGGGGTCCCATCGAGGAGCAAGCGAGACATCTTGGGCCTCACCTGCGGTAAGGCGCTTCGGCTAGGTTTGAGATTCCCGGGGGATGTTCGGCGGCTCGCTTTGGTTTCTTTTCACTGGGCAGGGCGCGGAGTCCTGGGATCCCGAAAAGGTGGAAGCGTAGTCTCTTCATCGGGTTTGCTCAGAATGCTATTTCGAGCGGACTCGAGAGTTTCGTGGTCACGGAGACGGACGCTACTATTCTTGATGGCTGTCTGGCACGTCTTGGGCGCATAGCTACGCCAGGCAAGGCTGCCTCCCGGGGCGGGCCGCACGTAAAAACATCATCCAACAAACAGGTGCCCGCTGATTGGAAGTTGGCCCCCTCGTCGCCGGAGCTTTTGATTCGCCGAGTTAAGTTGCATCAATCGTGGAGCGCGCACCCTGAGGGCCACACTCAGATTTCATGCGCTCTGTTTGGATCTTCCCCAATCGAATTCATGCGACCTCAGCTTGGATCAGGCGGCCGGCCTGCATTTCACCCTTCGCCGTGGACAGAACAAGTCGCCTCAGATCTTGATCGCGTTTCCAGGCTTCTTCCTTGCGAGGGAGCGCGAGATGTTGCCAACGACCTGCGTCTACTTAACGACTTGGAGGCCTCAGGGGACTTTCGGAGAGTGGATGCGAACGAACTTCGTAGTCAAGCATTCTCGGCGAGCATCCCCCATTCAGACCACGCCCCCCCCCCCCCCCCCCAGAGGCACCTCGTGGGGATCCCGAAGAACACGCAGAAGTGGACTTACCCTTTGTGTGCCCGATGGATCTCAATGGTGAGCCCTGTCAGAGCGCCTTCAGTACCTGTGA